AAAAAAAAAAAAAAAAAAAAAAAAAAGACTAACCAGTATAACAGAGGAGGAGCCATTCCAGAGTTCTGAAGGCTCTCCATTATCACCCGGGCTCCACAGTGCAGTCCCACCCTCGGAGGTGGGACCTTCTCTGCCTGCTGAAACACAGCTGGTGGAGTCTCCCCCTCTCAAATATTCTAGAGTTTTATAGCTTACACGACATGTAGTTCTTGATTACGTCATCTTCCTTTATTGTTTCCTAGTTGTTTTGCATGTGGGAATCTTTTTATCCTAAGATAAGAATCCACTACCTGGTCTCCATTATTTTGTTTCTCGCAGCAATTAGCACCGTGGGGAGAACACAGAAATCTCTCAACGCTTGCGAAGTTCACTTCATTTTGTCTCTCCCCTTCACCCATCCTCCAACGCAGCATTTCCTAATGTGTGTGCCAGGAGGGTTTTAGCTAAAAAAGGATGCCAGGGTCTAACAGATTGGAAAATACCATACATTGTGTCACCTGAGAGTCACAAGGAGCCTAATAAAAGCTCTGAGAAGTTCTCCTGTAAAGACACGTGCTGAATCTTCTTCAACCCACCATGTCCCACAAAACTTTCGCCTCCAACAATTAACCTCCTGCAGAAATACTTTGAGAAATGTGCTGTGGCCTCTGAAATTTGGTTGCGTTTCTTCTATGTTATTCCTATGGAAGATTTTAACTATAGAACTAAAGCCGTGCCTTTTTGTACCATCCTCTGGATTCTAAAGCCCTTCAAGCGAGAAGTGCGTCTATCCTGTCATCCTCGGCAAAGGAGCTGAGGGGCCTTCCCTGCTGACTGTAAGATGCTCCTGATCTGCCCCTGACTTTCCGAAGACGTGACGTCACGTAGAGGAGTGTCCTCACATCCCTCTGGCGGTGGCTGTGGCCCACTTCACTGCATTCTGGGCCCCAGCTCAGACCCTCCTCATCTGTTTAGAACAAGCTGAGAGCTCTTGGCACGCAGACAGGAGTCCGAGGCTCTCAAAGCAGAGTGTCAAGCTGCTCTGCTTTCCAACCGAAGCAGGTCAGACAAGGATCGCGTTGCTCGCAGCCAAGAAGATCGGGTGAGGTCACAGGATTCCTCAAAGGCAGGGACCTGGACAAATGAGCGCCTGGCCAGAGCAGAATCTGGACCCCGTGAGGGCTGCTCCAATACACCCAGCCTTAAACACGGCCTCCCTGGATGGGGTCTGATGCCGAATCATCACAAATACATAACCCCTCCCGCCAAGGCTCTGGGAAATATTTTGCAAAGCTACTTCCACCTGGTTGCTCCCCGCAGGAGCTGGCCTGAAAGAAGGCCCCAGGCCAGCACAGGACCAGCCTTCGCTGATCGACAGAGGTAAACCCGGAGATGCAGTCAACAAATGTCTCCAACAAAGAGTTACCAAAGCATCTACTGCGTTCCGAGCTCTTGGGAGCTCTTCTTCAGGCTCTGAGGCTACGAACAAGGAGCTTATCTCCAAGTGGAGGAAGGTGACAGTAAGCCAACAAACCCACAAATAAGAAACCAGCAGGTGGGGATGAGAGCAACAGAAGAAATGTCAGGCTGGCTGCTTCAGAATGGGGATTGAGGGAAGGCCAGCCAGAGGAGGGTCATGTTCTGGTTGGAATGGAAAAGCTAAGAAAGGTCAGGGCAGGTGGAGACTGGAGCCTTCCAGGCAGAGGGAGGAGCCGGTGCAAAGCCTGGAAGGAGCCCAGGAGAGAATGCAGGCCCGTTGAGAGAACGGAGGCTGGAAGGTCTGGGAGGAGAAGCACGCCACCACGCGCTGGGGGGAGGCAAGGGGTCTTGCGTCCTACGTGACAGGAAGCTGTCGGGGCAGCTAAGCCTGACGTGGTAGACAGGGGCGGGAGAGAGAGGGATGGGAGGACATCTGCATTGAGACCACCCTCTCTGAGGGGTCCCAGGGACACGCGGGGCCTGAGTGCATCAGGGAATCGGGCAAGAGAGGCCACTGAGCTCAAGGCCATCCCATCTCAGAGCGAAGACTCCTGAGGTCTGGCAGGCCTCCTTCGACGGCCTTCAAAGGGGTCTCTCGGGCCATCCCAGCCGGTTCCACAGGGAGGCCCCTGGGCCAGGGGCTGCTGCCCCGGGAGGTGGGTTCTCCAGCCCCCTTCTCCTCCTCCGCGCTTTAAGCCCCGCCCCTGCTGCTTTCCTTGGCATCCCACGTGGTGTGCGCACCCCAGGCGGGAGGGACAGAGGGTGGGTGGCTCTGGTCTCTGGGCGAGTTAGCACCCTCCCCCCAACTCCCGAAGGGCTGCTTCCTAGTGAAGACCACAGGGTAGAAGCTGTCTGAGGGTTACAGCCATGGCAGGATCCCTGAGACCTGGAGACAACATCTGGTTAAAACAGAAAAAAAGCTCTCATCATGACCTTCAAGGACCCCTGCAACCTCCTCCCCGAAGCCCAGGCGGTGTCTGCATCCTCTTGCTCCCCATTTGAATGTGGGTTAAATCTGCCCACAACACTTCATTTAAGGCCTAGGGCAAGTCACAGATGCCTTCCAATCCTGCTCTCCCTGCCGTCCCATGACCTGAGGAGATACAGTCGGGACCCTCCCTGGCCTAGCCACCAGCCTGCATTTGTTGCTCTGCCCACCCCGCCAACTGTAGCCCAACCCCTGTTCCCTGCAGCCAACTAGACCTTCCAGGTATCCTGCTGACTCTGAGCCACACCCTGAGCTTCCCTGGATCAAGGCTCCTGTCGGCTGTTTCCTCCTGTGGGTACCCATTCCTCCCTTTGCTGCTCATTAAAATTCAACCAGTCTTCAAAACCCTGATTTAAAAACAAAACAGTTTTTAGACCGGAAGGAATTTCTCTCAAACTCACCGTTGTATCCTAATTATTCAGAGACCAGACAACCCCTTAGTTGAATGCAACCCTTTGGAGATGCTCAGAGACCGTGCCTGAGGGAGTTCCATGCCCCAAACCAAAACCTGGTCCATAGGAGGTGCCTGATGTGCACGTTCAGACTTAACTCAACTTAAAGCGTGCTTAATATCTGAGTCCAAAATCTAAATACATGGAAGGAAAGACACAGCTGCCCTCCCTCCTCTCAACCATGCCTGGCCCTGGGCTTGCACACAGGGGGGGCGCATCCTCAATGCTGCAGAACTGACCCGCCCCCAGTAACCTCACACAGAGAGCCCGTCAGGACCAGCTCTTTGCGCCAGGGGTGAACCCAGGCTTGGCCAGGCCTCTCTCTCAGCCTGCGCAGGAGTTACTGAAATCACGCCCCTCCCAGGAAGTGACCATGGCTCATCGGGTTAAACAGGAAACCTGGCTGCAGAAACCAGAATGGCTTAGCATCCCACTGCTGCCAGGGACTGAGACGTCAAGGGCACTGAGTCGTAACGGATGCCTTTCTCTGTGTGAGTGTGTTTACACTTCCTCTTTCACAGGCAGACCTGCTGGCCTCCTCAGAGCTACTCAGAAGACACACTTGGCTTGTTTCTGCCCCCACACTGGCATGGATGCCAGGCTGCTGCTGCTTCTCTTCCCTCGAGACCTCCTAGGCCCTGCTGTAGGAGAGGAGGACCTGTGCGCCCACCACCTCCCCACACCCGGCCACAGCTCTCTCCTCTCTCCTCTCTCTCTTTCTCCTCAGAATCAAATGGAACCAATAGGACAAAATCACCCACACAGTCCGACTTCCACAGCTCTTTCGACTGGAAGCACTACTTTGGCCATCTTCCCCCAAGAAATGCAATTGCCTTTATTGTTCTCTGTTGCTTATCTTCCCAACTAATGTGTATCGTCTCTGAAGTCACAATTCGTATGTAGATCCTCTCATTGGCCACGGAATCCGAGATGCTGTGAGCCTCCGGGCATCTGCTTAACGCACAGGACTGGGATGGAGTGAATGTGTGAACTCAATCCATGGTCATGGAATGCCCACCTGCTCAAAGGCAAGCTGACGACTTGGAGCTTTAAGGAGAGGAGAGGATGTCACATCACAGACAAGGGAGCCACACAGCCTTGAGAACAGGACTAAACTGGGGATTTCACTGGCTTGGTCACAAAGCATCAGGGTCACAAAGCCAGAGGTCCCGAGTCCAAGGAGAGGCACATCAATGAATGAGGGAGAATACAGAAAAAGTCTGCTCCCCGCACAGCTGTCATATGCTCTCAGCCAGCCTACGCACATGGTACTTAGGCAACTGGGGGCACCTCCTGGTGCTCTGGACACTGTCTTCAGCATCTCATCGACACTGCCCACGGCGTCGGGAGCCCCTACCCGATATTCACGTTTGCTGTTCAGGCAATGGCAGCGCACGGGAGAAGATAACCGTGAGCAACCAGGCCCACGCTGGTCATCGTCAACTCGCCGACATCAAAGGGGGCCCTGGTTCTCAAAGGAGCCCCGAGGGAAGGTCAATTTGTTTCATCCTTTAAAATCATCTGTCCATACAACTAGACTCTGAAAGAACCTACCCTTTCCCTTAGCTCACGCTCCCGTTTCACACATGCTCTCCTGGCTGACAGGGTACTGGATCAGTGGTTCTTTCTTCCTCCATATGCATCAGGGCAACTGAGACCTAGCACCCATGCCTCCCCTTGACCCTCAGCAGGCTCACAGAAGCATCCAGACACACGTCCGTGCTCTGGGTCACGTTCTCTGGCTTCACGCTCTCGAGCACCAACAGGACGGGAGGTGGAAGAACGTTGAGTTAAACCTCGAGGTCACCACGAGGCTTGCTTCTCATGCCATTTTTTCCCAGAGAGGGTCACAAGGACATCTGGCTACCCGTCAGGTCCAAAGTCTTACAGCTCAAGAGAAGAGAGAGGATTTCAACTCTTGGCCTCAGTGCCCATCAACCCTGGCTTGGCCCATGGAGCCAAGCTAGGAAAGGGGCCACACCGAGACTCGGCAGGTGACTTGGCTGCCGTGATAGCAAATGTAAGCGGTTATTTCACTCAAGACAATCTATTTCCAGGGGCAAAGCAAAGCAAAGACCCAAAGAGAACTCACTTCTTCCTCTTCTATGCCAGTCAGATCCCAGAAGTAGCCCAGTCGCATCTGTAATCTCTTCCAGTTTTCGAGAAACATGGTAGCTTAAAAAGAAAGGAAAAAAATTCTATTAATTCTGAGCACCCTCAGGGTTCCCCAAGGGAGGATAAACTTATAAATTTCAAATTTAGGGACTTTCTTTAAAGCATCGATTCCCTTCCCCAACCCCAACTTCTAGCTGGGACAACTCAAAATACTCCACATCCAGGAGAGCCCAAGAGATATATTTAAAGGGAGACACACACACACACACACAC